CGGACCCCGTACTCCCGGAGCACCCCCCACAGGGCGCTGCGAGGGACACGGTCGAATGCCTTCTCCAGATCCACGAAACACATGTGGACTGGTTGGGCAAACTCCCATGAACCCTCCGCCACCCTGAAGAGGGTATAGAGCTGATCCAGTGTTCCACGGCCAGGACGAAAACCGCATTGTTCCTCCTGAATCCGAGGTTCGACTATCGGTCGATTTCTACTCTCCAGTACCCTGGCATAGACTTTCCCGGGGAAGCTGAGGAGTGTGATCCCCCTATAGTTGGAACACACCCTCTGGTCCCCCTTCTTAAAAAGAGGGACCACCACCCCGGTCTGCCAGTCCAGAGGCACTGTCCCCGACCGCCATGCGACGTTGTAGAGGCGCCAACCAAGACAGCCCCACAACATCCAGAGACTTAAGGTACTCAGGGCGGACCTGCACCAGTTTTGCTGTGTATAATTAGCTGACCTTCACTCCTATTCTCTTCACTGATTCTACCTTGGAATTTTAGGAGCATTCAAACTCGAGTTGTTATGAGAGATTGGGCTCAGTTAAAAGAAGAAAAGATACTCTGAAGACACCTGGAGGTATGTAGTTCCAAGAAAAATTTAAAGGAAAAAAAGTGAGTGGTACAGTGGAAGGGGGCTGGGCCCATAACCCAGAGGTCGATGGATCGAAACCATTGTCTACTGAGATTCAAAGTTACCGAGTAGCCAGGCATTCTTACGTTGCAACAATTTGGTAAGTGTTGCACAAAAATTCCTCACTTCCCTCACCTTCCATTTGATTGCCATAGTGTGCAGCTGATATGACCCCACTTGTATTTTAGTCTAATTTCTTCAGTTACTCTGTTCTTGGTCATTACATGAACTGCAGCTAAAGCCTGACTTCATTATGGCTGGAACATGGTTTACAAAGTAGGATTTGACAAAAATGTGGTGTAAACGGTTAAAAACAGCTTCGTGTCTGGTAGCGTGGCCGAGCGGTCTAAGGCTCAGTTGAGGTGTGGGTTCAAATCCCACCGCTACCGCATCCAGTTGTTTGTATCATTTGGCTTAAGACAGGGGTCTATAAAAGAGCCTTTGGACAACTTCTCTGAAGTTGTAACTAGGCTCGATGCACCACCTGCCCCAAATGGCGTGCTTGAGGACAGGTGAGACCGCTGTGCCTTTTAACCACTCTATGTGATGGCAAAGTGGAATACAGTCTGACATCTGAAAATTCCAAAGCCAAAAACATAGCTCAACCACCAGTTGTCTGTATATAGTCATTATGTCATCCCTTATGTGGCTGGTTTATCAGAGAAGTTAAAAAGGATCTTTCGCAACCACAATAAGCCAGGGAACACCCTGCAGGAAAGACTGGTCCACCCGAAGGACAAAACACCCAGACACAAACAGAGTGATGTGGTGTATGCAATTAAGTGTAGTCAGGAGTGTAACGACTTGTACATTGGTGAAACTAAGTAGCCGCTGCAAAAACGCATGGCCCGACACAGGAGGGCCAACTCCAGTGGACCAGAGTCAGCAGTCCACCTCCACCTGAAGGACAAAGGACATTTTTTTGAGGACAGTGAAGTCCAGATCCTCTCCAGAGAACATTGCTGGTTTGAGAGAGGAGTTAAGGAAGCTATTTTTGTTCAACTAGAACACCCCTCACTAAATAAGGGTGGTGGACTAAGACACAGCTTGTCATCTGTCTACAACTCTGTTTTGAGATCTCTGCCCAAACATGCCCACCAGGACAATAGGCGTCGGTCCACAGGTGAGGGTTCAAAGACAGGTAACGATGCTCACTGATACTGGGCTGTAATGACTCAGTCGTTAGGGGACATTGTTGGGCATCAAAGGACTGAAACACCACCGAGGGGGATAAATATCTCTGCTTCAATGCCAGTCGGGTAGAACAGATGAAGCCTCTTGGATGAGAGGTGAAATGTCTTTGACCTAAAACTATGTCCAGATGATTTCTTCTTAAACATTTTGACAGGGACACTTTTTCTTGTTTTGGCACATAAGTATCTTTGGCTGAGCTGAGTTTATTTATGCATATTTGATACTTTTTGTGTAGGCTGTATCCATTCCTTTCTACATAAGTAGTCCTCCCACAGTTTTGTCAGTGAACAAAGTGAGAAATGAGGAGACTTGATGTGTGAATATGTACATAACAGGGAAAGCGTGACACTGAAGGGTATAATCAGCACCCTGTCTCTTTGAGCTGCTCTGAATACTGGCAGACAAGACTATAAATACCAGATGCATGGTTACATAACAGCATATGCCATAGCACTGCACTTTAGTTAATTAGAATTATGACCAAAGAAGAAAGCATTTTGGCTCTCATCCATGATACTAGTAATCACAGAAGATGTTCCTATGTTAACTGGTGTATTATAAACTGTGGGGGAGCCAACCACACAGAGTTTCTGCACTTGCCAATTTAAATGCACAAGTCCTCCAAAGTTCTTCACAAAATCCACAGCAACTGGCTCAGAACATTCGCAGTTAATACCACCCTTAAACGGATGCTGCTTGCTGACTATAGGCAACACACTCAAAACAACCAGGCAATAGCCCCCTGAGAATTGTTTCTGTAATGTGCTTAATCAGCTGTTTTAATAGTCATTATCTCTATGGCTTAGTTAATATATTTTGCACTCAAAGTGGTTTTGATGGCAAAGTTAATTAAGAAGCAGTGGTCTAAATAGGTTTTCACATGAACTTAAAGCTGGACTAACAATTACTGAATTTACATGGACCCTAATGTTTCACTAATAATCTGAATAAAAATGCATCGTGTAATGATTTCAATCAGAACAGACTGGCCCAGTTGGAAGGAATTCTTGATTGGAATGGCATTTTACTTTGATATGTTAAATAAGAAAACAGCAATGTAAATGCTTGATCCGATCGTTTGTGCCATGTAGGGGTAACAATAAGTGGAATGACGAGTTTCTGAGAGGGGCAGATACACAGTGAGAGAAAAACAGGACTGGTTTGTGGCTGGTGCAGTGCTGCTGGTGCGCACTGAAATGACACTTTGCCACTTTTTTCTCAAAGTGACAATAATATTTGCATAATCCATCTGAAATTGATATACATTTTTGTAAGTGCTTGAAGATCCAGTCATCAGTAAAGTGTACAGTATGTCTCACAAGAGAAACAGAATAAGCAAATGGAATGGTCTAAATTGAAGGTTTGTTCAATTTACAGTGTAGCGACCTTGAATTGTGCCTTATGATTAATAACATACTTTATAATAATAAGCTCAAATTGGGGCACAAAGCTTTTTAATTTTTTTTTTTTTTTTTTACTAGCTACACAGTAAACAATTATTAATCAGATTAGTATACAAGTTGGAAGTATTGAGTTCTCAAGACAATGACTACTTTAATTCCTGAAATAAAAGATGACATAAAGATGCCATGAGAAAGCCTGTTCTATCATCCAAATAAGTTTATTTACATGTGTACATGAGGAAAAGGGGGTTTGGGAAATGTAACATGGCAGCCATGATGCATATTGGCACAAAGAGATGGCTGGAATGGATTAATGAACAAATGAATTAATGGTTGAACAGTGATGGTGGAAGAATTAGTTAAATTTGTTTACATCACATAGGTTTTGGATCCAAGTTCTATGATTTAGTGCCCATGGCATGCTCATTTTACTCATTCCCAGCCATTTAATGTTTAATCTTGGGTACCTCTATATTAGCTTGATACCCATCATAACTCCAAATAGTGTGTAATTACTTCAGAACGATAAAACCAGAAAGCCTCTTCCTAAAAACATAGTTCGTAGTTCTTTAACATGCACAGCTCCTGTTGTCAGTGTTGTGTCACAAATGCACAGCGCAAGAACCAAGACAGCATTAATTAATTAGAATTTCTCCTCCATAGATAGGTAAACAATGGTATATGT